TGTTAAAAGCTGCTATACTTCGCATCAAATAAAATATTCATTTATGTAAGAAAAGGGTGGTGAAAGGAATCATATGAACCCCCTAATCTGGAAAAGGGGAGGCCTCGGTTATCGATCCTTATTCAGTGAATGTTTAGGTGTATTCAAGTTGAGGTCAGTGTGTCCACAGAGCTGTACCACTTTAACTAAATTGATATTAATCACCAGGAATCCTGGTTTTCTCTGATTAAAAAAAAAATTCCAATTTTCAGATTAAAAAAAGTAACCCCAAATCCACATTTTCCCATGACTAATATTCAACACCGCTATATATCTGTCTATATACTAGTGGTGTTTCATTTTAATCATGGAAAAACGTGGATATGGGGTTACTTTTTTTCTGAAAATTGGGGACTTTTTTATCAGAGAAAACCAGAATCCCTGTTAATAGATAGAACAGTCTACTTTATATGTAGGACAGTCATTACAATGGACATACTTTAATAGGAGCCAGAAAATGGTGATGTAGCCACTCTGTACTCTGACTGTACAGAAGAGACATTCCATCTATACAGCCTATGCTTAAATCAGCTATTCCTACTAGTTCTGATTTTGTGCAGGAGATTTTAATTTGATTTGTTGAGTTAAAGCTTGCTTCCTAAATATTGACAACAATTGTTCATTAACCCTGCAAATTTAGGATGAATGTAGCTAAAGCAGCTTCTGTACCCTACAGTCTAATAAAAGATTTCCTTTCAATATTGTAAACATCTTTCTGTTAATTACTCCATATTTCATTAAATTTAGATTAATACAAAAAGTGTCAGTTATCTGAGAACATGCAGATATGCATGAGAATACAAATTAAATATGCTAATTGGTGCCTGTAGCCTCCTGTGCCATTCACCTGCGCGTCGAGTCCGTGGGGTCATTTCTGAGTTTGCCGTTGCTTTAGGGAAGAAACAGGCTTGTTAGTTGGTTGGACTTTGGTCAGTTTCCCAGGGGTCTCACCTGCCACATCTTTGCTGGAAAATTATTTTAATTGAGAGGAAGATGGTCTGTCCTGTCTTTCCTGGTGCCTTCCTTTGGTTGGCCCAGCTGTCCTTTCCATTTTGGGCTCTGCCTCCCCTACACCCTGCCTAACGCCAACCAGAGATGTTGTTTCCTGGACCACCAGAGTTGGTATCATGTGCACTTTGGTGCTTTGACCCTTTAAATTTATGATGGTGGGATCGGGACATTGTTTGGCCTGAGTGTTCCCTACCGCCCCTTGCCTTTTTTATGCATCTTCCTGATCCCAGGCTGTCTTGTTCCCCAACATCTCACTCCCTGTTTGGGCTTTATACTTGCCACGGGTCACTTGTTCATCAATCCTTGCCCTACTTGGTCCTGCTGTGGATGCCCAATATCCATGAAATCTCTACATGTAAGTCATTGAGCCTTCTCTAGCCCTGAGTATTTGAGAAAGCCCCTTCCTAGGGCAGCCACCAGGTCTCTGCACTGGGACCGGGTTCTGGACCTGGATCTGGCCCCTCTGGGCCGGTCAGGGACCTCACTTCCGGTCCTCACTCCTGGTCTCCCACTGGGCTTTTTATCCCGACTTCAGGTGTCTGGACAGCCAATCGGCCCTGGCACACTGCCTTAAAGTGTGCCCATGCCGATGTGGGAGCCAATCCCAGCTCCTTCTGGGTTGGCCATTTTTTTCCTTTTTTTCTTTACCATGGCATCTCTGCCTGCCGCAGTTTCACTTTTGTTGGGCTCTGGTTCTGGTGCAGTGTCCCGCCAGCTTTGCTCCTCATCCAGCTGAGGTAAGACTTTTTCACAGTGCCATTTGTAATTTTTTTCCCAGTTCATAACACCAAATATCATAATTTTTCCTGTGGCAAAATTCCTTATAAAACACACTCGACAAAGTAGAAAATCAATTAGAAAAGTGTACTTATTGATGTGATCAAGGAAGACCTGATTTGAATCACACTGCACTTCTGAAATAGTATTAACTCTGTATAATATATGGTTCTGGCCTCCACCCAGATGGAGCCCCTGGCTCTGGACTGTGGGGACTGCGTAGTAGCGCTGTCAGCAACTCAGAACAGGAGCAAGGTCACCCTCACTTGTAGGGTATGCTCCCTTGTGGAGTCTCTGGAGTGCTGGGAGAGGGAGCTTCAGGCTGAGGTGAGCAGGCTGCTCACCATCAGGGCCCACAAGCAGGAGATCAGTGGCCTCTGCCAGGCTCTTCTCCAGAAGAATGAAGAGGAAAGGACAAGGATGGCTGACAACATGAGGTTGGACAACAAGATTAACTGAGAAGCCCAACTGGGGGTCAATTGGAAGATGGTCATCTCTAGCTCCAAGACACGCAGCCCCAGGCTTTCCCCCCCTGGAACTGTGCAACAGTTATGCACACCTCACAGCACCAACAGAGTTACCAGCAGAAGCACTGGCTTCTGAGGAGCAAAGGCAGCTAGCTTTTACCCCAAAGAAGAGACACAGGGTGGTCATGTTGAGCAACTCTCTCTTGAGGGGAACAGAGGGAGCAATCTTCCGCCCCCATCCCTAGCCCATGAGGTCTGCTACTTCCCAGGGGTACGTATCTGGGGTGTGGCAGCAAGGATCCCTAAACTTGTTTGGCCCTCCAACCTTTACCCCATGCTACTCATCCATGTGGGCACAAATGACACAACCAGAAACAATCCTGACTGGGTCATGAATGACTACTGGGCTCTGGGAGCTGGACTCAAGGAGTTGAGGTGCAGGTAGTTTTCTCCTCAGTCCTTCTGGTTATCGGCCATGGGCACAGGAGAGAGAGATGCATTGAAGAAGTTAACAGAAGACTCCGGCGTTCATGCTACCGTGAGGGCTTTCACTTTTTCAATAACAGCATGCACCTAAGAGACAGTGACTTGTTGGGAAGGGACAACATCCACTTCACACCAAAGGGGAAGGCACTTTTTTTGACTAAACTGGCAGACCTCCTGGATAGGGTTTTAAACTGAGATCACCAGAGGACAGGCAGAAAACTATTAGAGCAAGCCCAGGAACAGGCAAGCACTAAACTAATAAGATGGAAAACAATAGGAAGAACACTCTGACGTGGACCAAAGGACTGGACTCTCAGTGAAACAGGAAGTTGTGGGCCTCCAATGGTAGACTTACATGCCTGCTCACAAATGCTAGGAGCATGGGGAACAAGCAAGAAGAACTTCCTGCTAACCAGTAAGGAATATGATCTTATTGGGATAACAGAAACCAGGTGGGACTGCACCCATGATTGGACCACAGGTGTAGAGGACTACACCTTATATAGGA